TAATTCTAGTTTTAGTAATATTTACTCATACCTGCCAGATCTCAGGTCATGCTCCTAAGCAATAGGACACTCACACGCATAACACGATGTATTATCCCACGTATGAACACGAAGTTACCAAACAAAATTAAATATTAGCAAAGCACGCATGACGATTTTAAATTGTTTGAAAAACTATAGTAAAATGTTAAATCCACTACATAGACCTACATCAGAGAAAACTCGAACAGATAAGACTCATTGGACTAAAGTTATTATACGAACAATTATTCTAGACGTGGACACGACAGCAAGTAAAAATTTAAAAAAATGCCTTTTCTTTCATATTATTTTCAATCTAAAAGGACGGATTTTTGTTGCACCCCTTCTAGCCATGCAGGCTTTCCAGACTGCCTTTGGTAAAATTAAACATACATACCAAACACGCATGCCAAACAAAGTGAAAGGATAGTGAAGAAAGTTGGTACGATCGCCTTCATAATTGTTGCTCTATCTCAAAGTTTGAACTTGAAGTGAACTGAACACACAACTGACATCCAAGTGTGTCGGTTCTCTGCTTATCGTGATTTTTTATACTCTCCTTTGCACTAAATTTGAATTTATAATGGCGTGTTGAGAGTTTGATTTTGGCTACGACACTCGATGAATATGGTGCTCAACAACCACTTGAATATTTGGTTTGTGTGTCTGCTTTGTTCGCATGGGCAACAATCTGCAACTGCGCTGTTCATTCATTCAAATCTCCTTTGTAATGCTCAAGCATGTTGTTTTGATAATATTGATCAATTTTGTGTCGAGGAATTTGTTTAAAAGGATCTAATTTCATGATCAGATACAAGTCAATTGCAATAAATTGTTTAAATACCATCTTTATGCAAACTAGCAAATACCTGCACTAAAAGGAGTGGAGGTTTAGTTTGCGTCCACACTCCCCCTTGTCTGTATTGTGTAGTATCTTCACAATGCTTTCTTATGTTTGAGACTTCCGGAGATTCCTTGCAAAGATAAAGCAATGATAGGAGCACATGAGGGTGTTGCATCTCGAAGGCAGCCAGCCAGCACAAGATTTGATAGTTCAAACGATTTTACACGTCAAGACTCGTTCACGACGTACCGTTTTCGTTATAGGCATTTACATTTACATTTCTTAAATTTGGCCATAGACATCCACTCGCAGAGTGTGAATACTCATTTGGTGCTATGTTAATGTATGTACGCTGCAGGTCTGTGCTATATCACAACAAAGTTACCATTTAAGTATATTAAACTTATTACTAGTTTTAATATGCCATATAAGATTCCTCATTAAATCCCTGTAAAAACATGGGCTCGTACTTATTAACAGAACAACTTCCAAAAGCAGTAGTACAACATGGATGACTATACACTAGTATGTTTTCAGTTATCTTTATGATAATATTCAAATTCTCAACGCTTCGAAGAAAAATTATTTCACTACTTATGATTTTTGAACTCTACTTATTATACCATTCTTGTTTGATACATATATCACGAAACAATGGAAACGTCATGTTGCCTTCTACATCTAGCTGCACGTTAAAGAGATTTGACGCATGATTTGACGCACGATTAAAGATCTTTGTGCATGCAACTGAAGAGTGTGATTTTGATACAAATATGTCATTTTAATGCTATTAATTGATAAATGAGGAGATGAAAAACTTTGCAAAACTGAGCCTAGTCGCATATGGGTATTGTGGAGCGTTTTTCACTCAGATAATGAAAAAATTTGTGAAAGTTTAAATGTTCCTTTTCAAACTATTTGTAATACAATCCTCATAGGCTTTAATCTTGACTCTGTAATTTCATTGGATGACATATACGATCATCGCAACAAACGTAAGAACTCACTTTTAATGTATTTCCAGATATGCAGTGCCAGAGTAAAATCTGCTGGAATATACAAATAGAGACTTGAAACAAGTACAGTTTCTGTTTGTTTTATTTGTAACTGTTTTTTTTAGTTGTTTTCATTATTGCTGGTATTATTAGTACTTTTCATTATCAGTTATGTTGTTTGGTGATGTAGATATAAGCAAAAACATTACATTAATTTACAAGTCTCTTTAACTGTATTGCATGTAGTTTATATTTATTTACCAATGACCAGTCTTTGCTAACAACACCTTCCATTATCTACATGAATTACTGATCAGCTTATATCAACATAACAATAGCTACTTATGGTGACAATGTTTATGATCTTGTGCAAGAACATATCTTTAAGAAACATGCTTTTCCTTCATATATGTATCGCTAAACAAATATCACAAAATACAGAATACGGCATGTGCCAGTCACGAGTCCAAAATAATCGCGTCACCGGAAATTTGAATTTTATAACGAAGCATAAACTGGTGTTGCGTGAGTAGGAGCACGTCCTCTATTTGCTTGGCGCATGCAACAATAACGAAGTGAGGACTGAATGAATTCCAACCGCAAACTTAAGTTGTTTTTTCCGCCTTTTACTTAAGTGCTCATTTCCAAAGAAAAATATTCGTCTGTTTGAATATACTTCCTGTCAACGGTAAGAGGACAAACAATACAGTTTACTATATATGTTTGAAGTATTCCTTGACTAGGCGATTTCGAATGAATCGATAACTTGCCATTAATAACTCAAAATTGTGATTTTTTCAACTGATCAAATAATCTTCTACTTCACGTTTGCCCCGCTTTATTGACTACTGTCCTTCTAAAAGTAGGTTCCAGACAATGAACATTAAAGTGTTCATAGTCTGTACAGACGTAGAATAAAGCGAATGAAATCTTGATACCATCTGTGTAATGTAATTTTGTACGATATAAAAGATATGAGAATAAGTTGCAAAAAGAGATCAGACTTCTACCCAAGCGTCTACCTTCATATGAGATGTACACATGTGGATACCATCTGCAAAATATGGTAATCGTCCTTAAAAGAGTTTCAAACGATTTACTTAACTAAAGTAAAATAATAAAAGTCTTGGGACTTATTATTAAGAGATGTTATGTTCAAACATGCAAAAATTTAGTTTTGTTGCAATTAAGGAACGGAAGTAAATTGATCAACACAGATTTGATGAATACGTTTGGAAGTGAAAGGAAATGTCTAGTTGGAATACATTATGAAAGTATCTTAGATAATCTACATCATTGATCGATACAATATATGAGAGCTGTTACATTTTGAGCAGAAAAAAAGTCTGGCCCTCCAAAAAGAAGACACTTTATACCGATGACAATACCAATGTTGCATTTTTAGCCGCCTCCAAAGCTTTTTGGATACCTAAACCATGCGATGCTACTTACCATTTTTGACATGGAATGGGTAGAGCTACAAAGGAAAACGAAAACAGTTAAAGTTCCCGACAATGCTCAACAATGTAGTCTATGTGAATTTGGTTTAACTCATACAACAGGCGGTGAGTTATATGCGAACATCCGACGATACTTCAATAATGTCAATGAATTAGACACAATAAATTGATTGGTCTATTGCTGTGTTTGCATATCCTGTGCAAAGCTGATCTTAAACTAACCAATTAAATCAATCAATCAATTAAAGAGAATTTGCAAATCAATCATTTACAAATTATAGAGGAAAAGTTAAAACGCTTTTTTTGATTTTTTTGTTTCGAATTGTTATTTATATGCTTTTAAGTTCCCCCATGCAAAGGTCTGCGAAAAAGCCTTTGCACACCTAGTCAACATCTTTTATTTCTTAAACAATATATGACAAACTTTTCTTGTCGTCTTCACTTTTTCCACATTTACTTTTCGCACTGAACTCGTATGAAAATACGATTGTTTAGGTAGAAAGAAAGAAAAATATCTTTGCCCATAACACTAAATGTTTGAAGTGTTTATTGCGTACATTATTGATGCAAAATGCAAACCAACCTGAAATAGATTCCTGCTATCGTAGCAGGTTGTATATTCTTTATATTAAAAGGCAATGAAGTTTTTCAACGTCAGAAACAAAATCAATTGTTAGGCTTTGCAGAACAGTTAAGCTTTTAAAGCAAATGAAGATGTCGTGATGAGCGAATCCGGTATAGTGTAAATGCAGCCTAAAGAGCCCGTTGTTGCACCACGGCAACAATCACCAATTGAAATGTGTGCAAACTCTTAAAAAAGGTCCGGGTACTTGAGGGCTAAGGAAGAAAGATGTTACACAGAGGGGATTTAAGAGTCAATTTTTGCTTCCATAAATTAGTGCCAAACAATAGTGCTACAAAAGAGAAAAGTGCTGGTGTGCTTGCCTCAAAACCCATTTGACCACAGAATATTTCAAGTGTAGAATGAGGAAGGATGTACTTAATTAAAGTTTTACAGCGTTGTTGGCTCAAAACAGTAATATTAATTCAGAAACTTTTACGAGTAATTTTCTGCCGCAATTACCTTAAGCAGATTACTCATTAGGCCAAGCCTACAGGCCGCGGCTTTTGAGAGGCCTGTTGTATATAGACATAGTTAGTTTTTAATTTTTTCCACTGCGTAATACTTAAATGCTTTACTTGACCATTTGTGCTGTTAAAAACTTTACGATCTACTGTTCAAATGCAGACGCTCAGAACTCATGAATTTGTGGATCTTCCCAGTTTTAGTTTTATATTTATTTCTTCTTGTCGATACTTTGAGTTACAAAAATAAGCTGGGAAATGCAAAGGCAAGGAGCGCAAGGAACTCAAATGCCATCTAAAAACTGAGCTTAGTCGGAGGATTAGTTATCTGATTTAAAGACCAAAAATTTTATCTTTGTCTACAGGCCTTGTAATTAGTAATCCGCCACTAGTTTCTATAAGGTACTTAAAACTTAAAATTTTTCTTTTCCGCAACTGTAGATAAACACATTTAGTGTATAAATTTAATTGCTTAATGTAACAGCATGCACCTTAATTTCGGATTCATTTCTTTGTTTTGTGATATGTCGATGTGGACATAACGAAACTATAATGCAAATTACGTTTTGTTATTCTCTGTCAACATCCGTTTATCAAATATCGAGAGAAAGCTGCTAATTTCATACATGTCGCCTTGCCTAACTCAAAATTCACGACAATATAATTGATTCTCTGCGTTTCAATGATTTTGGCCCGATGAATTAATTAGGAGACTTATACAAATGGCTTCTTGCCCAAATAATCAAGAATGTAGAGACGAAGACTTGACAAATAATACCGCTGTTAACAAAACCTCTGACCATCCAAATCGCTACAACGTCGTAAAAGATGACGAAATATCCCTGGAAAATTGTTATGACAGTCAATGTTTTCCTGAATTTACAAATGTTAAAGGGGTTCCTACAATGTTGTACTCAAAGCAATGTTATTTTCATGGGAAAAGCAAACGAGACAAGATTGGACCTGAACCTTAGATGGATGAAATAAACCATATTATTTCTAATGACTTTAATACACGTGAGTCGATTGAATAAGAAAGAACATGAACACAGGATTGAATTAAATCTAAATTTCGTCGAATTATATTTTTAATATGCCAAAGTACATAAAGAAATGATGGAAAATGAAAGATATTAAGCAAACTCTTTCAACAATTACTAAAGATATGGAGGAAATGATAGCTGGGATTTTTCAGATTTTTGAGAAGATGAATATAGATAAGCATTTCACTCAAACTGTTGCTTACAAACAGAGCATTTTTTACATAGGAGGATATTATGACGATAAAGGAACATCATGTGATCTTATATGTGAATTGCAGGTTACTGGTATTAAATCATATAGTTTGAAAGTGTTGTGTCATATGCCTGAATCACGGTTGAGCCATGGAGCTGAGATCATTAATGATGAAATTTTCGTCTTTGGAGGATATGGAAAGGAAGACGAAATTCTCTCTAGCTTGATAAAGATTGATCCAAGATCTCTTAAAATTAAAGCAATGCCTCCATTTCCTCAACCATTAGCTGAAAAGGCAGCAGTTCGATGAAAAGTCATGTTGTTCTTTTTGGAGGCTACGATGATCGAGAAATACTTAACGATGTTATCATGGATGGCTGTAAGTGAAGGTAAGATCACTTTGTTACCCCCCATGAATGAAAAATATGGAGATTTTGCTTAGCTAAAACGGAAGATACAATTGTTATCATGGGAGGTCAGGTTGATGAGCACAGATATCTTAAATAAGTGGAGATTTTTCAAATAGGAAGAAGTACGATATGATCATATCTTTCTTTAATGAATAAACCACGATATGTAGCCATTGCTGAAGTTTTACTTCCTTGGTTCAAATTCGTTTAGAGAGTAAAATTATTTGTGACTGAATAGTACAATATAACATGTAGAATAAAAGATGGAGCAAGAAATCAGCTACAACCATGCAAAATATCATTAGATCATATTTACATAAGTTTTAATTGATTTTTCTGTACGTACAGTGAAATTAAAATTTTATCTAACTCTTCTCATCAGTGTTTATAAAAAATTATGACAAATGATAATTTACATATTTTAGTTGTGGCAAATTTGTTAAATCATCAATAAAGGGATCGGAAACATGTCTTACAGGTTTAAGGCCGAATTTTCATACAATAATTTCAATCGGTGCAATCATCTTAATTGATGCAATCGTCTGGTGTGCTTCTTGAAGGAAGATTTACCTGAAGTGATGAAACAGTCTGCCTTCTTATAAGGCTGGAGTGGATGCAGATCTTATACTACTTGACGTTATATGGTGAGATTGCAAATTTTCTAAGGTTTTTTATTGAACAAAAATTTTGTTGTGGATTATTCAATGGTTTTTTGAAACGTTTACTTGATAAATCTTTTATTAATAACTTATTCGTTTGTTCTTTTATTTTAGTTCCTAAAATTGTGTTTCGCCTGGAACGATTAAAAAACCTTTCAGGTATGTAATTTTATAGCTTTATATGATTAGCTAATCTTTATAGAGATTCAGTTGCATTAAGAGAAATATAAAACGGTGAATTTTAAATTATCGTGTATTGATGATTGTTTACACGAATATTATTTGTATATGCACACCATAGGAGTAGATTCCATTTTCAAGACAATGACGTAGGTAAATATTTTATTGACTCATGAGAAAATATGGCCGTCAAAGATATTGAATTGACCACTAGGTTGAAGGACAACAATTAACAATTGCCTTCATATGAAAACGTACATAAGCCCTAACACCAACAAAACTTAGTGCCAAAGATTTTCCTTTGAGATATTTTATATATGACAAATAAAAACATGAGCTGCCACTATAATTATCTTTCTTTATAATTGCCTCGCATTTTCCAGGAAGTTCTATTTAATTAAAAATATAAGCATCGTCATACCTGAACTTTTGAACTTCTTATCCTATATAGGTTGGTCGGGCAACGCTTGCATTTAGGACAGTGGATGTTTCAGAAATGACCTTTCACCAACGATATTTAATTCGATATACACACTTGCCTGGTTAAATACATTCTTGATTCAGCACATGCACGGAAGAAAATATATATGTTAATACACGGTAAGGGGATTAAAGAACGTAATAATACACGCTAAAGGGAAGAGAAAATATTTCATTAATATGAACTTGCTTCTATGAAGAAAGTATAAATGCTAAATAGATTCAATTTTAATAATTTTTCACACGCAGCGCGAAGCGCAGAGTATTCTTGATAAGCATAATTTGTCATAACGTGTTGAATGCTTTGGCAACGATTTCCCTAGTTTATAATGTTCGGCGTATTAAATGGCAAATATTCGATTGTTGTTTTGCTACTAAAGGAAATATTTTATTAAAATAAACTCCCGTCTATAAAAAAAAAGAATAGATGCTGAATACATTCAATAATTATTTACTCAACAAAAAGCGCAGAGTATTCTTGATGAGTATATTTTGTCATGGCATTTTAGACGATTTTGAGAAATATTTCCCTAATTTATAATATTTGGCGAATAGAAATAGAATGGCAAATATTCGATTGATGTTTTACTGTTAAAGGAGTGGTTACACACTACCTATAACATAGACAGTGCGCTAGTACTAAAGTCTCTCAAAGAAATAGAACACGGAAAATTATGCATACATATGGATTAGTTACTGATTAAATTAAACAACATTTTCATGACGGAATTTTTTTTTTCCAATACGAGACATTCTCTATTGCAGCTAAATTTTTTAGCTTTCAAATCGCAGGTTATTTTGTATTTCTCTTTTTTAGATAAATTTATCATTCTCATCAATTATGTATAAATGTGAGCTTAAACTAATTCAAACATAAATAATTGATGAGGATAAGAAATGACATTTAAAAAGGAAAAAAAGCACAATACTCTGCAATTTGAATGCCCAGAGTTCACGTATCTTTTAGCGAAATTTCCCGAAACTATGTCAGCTTGAACATCACGTGCCAATTGTTTTTTTGGGAAGTCATTTTAGTGCACAAGCTATTTGAAAAGTGCTTCTTCGAAACACAATTCTTACTCTAAAAACAGTTATTATTTGCAAATATACCATTAGAAGTCCAATCAACTATTCCACCAGTGATCTCTTCAGTGAGGTTTTCCTAACTGCTCAGTTTTTATACACCCTTTATATTTGAAAACAAATTTAAGTTATGTTTGATTTCATTTACGTACTGTCAAATAAATTCATCTTTCGCAAAAATGTAGTTTCTTCACGATCTTTATTCCTTCACGACGTAATATGGAATTTTTCCAGAAAAATACAAGACAATTTAAAGTTGAATTCATTGCTATCGTACTCCGACTCCAAAGATTAAGATGAACTTCATTTATATTAAGCAATAGAGGATCGCGTGACAGGCAGAATTTGTATGCTAACCAAACTGTAGTAGGAAGTGTGAAAACCACCAAACATACGACAAGCACAAAAGTTGGTATTTCTTTATGATGCTTTCGTTTTCTTATATTTTCAGTTGTTATTGTGCATGGAGTTCTCCTTTCTTTTGATTTGGCAATTTTATACATTTCAAAGTTTAAGTAAACAAGAATAACTGCTATCAAAGGAAGACAAAGGAATAACATGCCTGGTATTATTCTGAACCAAGCTAAACTTTCTAGTATAAGGATCAAACACTCCAGAATTGCTGTAAAACCTACCAACCTTTTTTTCGTTACTTTATTTTGATGAAAAAATGGAAATTTGATAGCCAAGAATCGTTCGACGTTTAGTGTCAGCAGCAGCAGAAGTGAAAGAGATTGCCCTAAGAAAATTACTCTACGAAAAATGATTTCTTTTACTTGATAACTTCCTCCATGTAATTTGGAAATAGCGACCCATTCAATAAACGGATGAGCAAGAACAACCACATGTAAGTCAGCACATGACAATAGAAATATTGCGAAATAACAAAATTTTTTTCGTAGTCGACATGATCTCCATATACTGATAATAACAACACAATTTAGAAAGAGTCCTGCCCAAAAAAATACAAAATTAAAAAGCAATAATAGAATAGTGCTTGTTAATAGAGCTGAATCCATTATTTGAAAACAAAATATTGTTTGACCAAGACTTCACACAAAACACTTATGTGTTCATATGCTCAAATTTACTCTATAAAAAATTTGCATAATTACTTAATACTTAAAAGTACTTTGAATTTAAAATTAAGCAGCTTTTATTTTATTTTGCTCGCTGCTGCTCGCTGTGACTACCCCTAGATCCGCTACTGGAATTAACAGGCAAATTTTGTATTTATTGGTGCGCGTAACGTATTTTATACGTTATTTAATACGTTATACGAAGAAGGCAATCTTTGTAGAAAAACGAAGACAAAAACAGAAACAGATGCATCAGACAATATTTTACCATATGAAATGTAAATATATTCAAAAATGTGCAGCAGTAATTTGTTTTCACTCACCCTAGATTCGCCACCGGCAAATCATAGTATAGCAATTAAAACGGAAACAAAATCGAAAGGGGGCTAATAAACGATGTGTTGCCATTGAACCAATTTCTAAGATTAGAAATTAAGCGTCCTTATGCATCAAGTTGTCCTATTTTTATCTAGCTGATTGTGTATGATTAGTCAAAATGTTTTTAAATGACAGAAAATGGAACTTAAACATCAAGTTCCGATGTTGACCTATCAAAACAAAAAATACTGCTTATCACAACAAATATAGATTAGCATTACTCTTAGATAAGAATTTATTCCACTTGGACGCATGCAGATGTTGACAGCTTTTAGAGTTATCATTGTTAAGACCTTTTTACCAATTTTATTTTATTTTGCACAAAGAAATTTACTTTTCCTTAATGCAAATAGCTGTTTTTCTGAGGAATTAGCTTTCTATCAAATAAAGTTCTTTCTTCTGTATCAACTCATTAAGCAGTAGCAGATCTAGGGATAGTCACAGCGAGCAGCAGCGAGCAAATTAAAGCTGCTTAAATTTTAATTCAAAGTACTTTCAGAAAAGCACTATTGGTTTTGAATTTCTAAAGAATATAATTTCACCAATGGACTTGTCTCTGAGCTAGGGCTTAGATATGTAAATATATTCCAAAATGTGCAGCAGTAATTTATTTTGACTAACCCTAAATTCTCCACTGTCATTACGTAAACTAAAATGTTTGTATTGTATTCTGTTCGCAATATTCGCCATTAGGTCCGTTTGAAATGTCGCATTTTTTAAAAAAAGCCGAATGCATTAATAACAAAAGAAACTGAAATAAAATTCCTCATTGTCATGGGTAAAATTGCATTGGATTCATTGGACTAAATGCGATATTTGAAACGATCTTAACTCTGCTTTCTATTTTAGTGATTATGCATAATTTTTTCATTTAAAATTCATACCCAAAAAGATTTGGAAGACATATGAGGACTCATTTGTCGTTCAGTAGAGAAGCCAGCCAATCGTTTATTCAAGCAATGCAAATTTTTTCAGGAAAGTTATTATTCCTTCTTTAGAAAATTAATTCCATTTATTGTTTTTTCAGTGATTGAACACAAAAATATTCGCATTGCAGAAGTAAAAAACGTGCTGGCTTCGTTACTGTTGTCCTTTCATGCTTAAAAAGTCCTCTCGTGTCCTCCCATTCATTTATGCCAATTATCTTGTGCGACAATTCGACAAAATGTCTGCGACTTTACAACGTGAAATGTTACTTCCATTTTGGTGATATGGAGTATTATTCCTCATGCGACATGGCGCGCGACACTTGTCGCACGCAATGTATAAAGTAGCCTTAAGCCACTGAAGTTTTCAAGCTTATTCAGGGTGACGGCAATTCGTCGTGACTTGTATCCATCAGTACTGTAACAAGATCAAAAATTGTGTGGACCCATATTCACTATATGCATGGTGCTGATTCGCACTAAACATTGCATTTCAAAAGGACTCAATACAAAATAACGTGCATCTATACAACTATGAGCCTCTGCAACTATCGACTTTCATACGTCATCGGTATCCACGGTTGAACTTTTAGAAGAAGGCAAGACTGTGGAGATCTTTTTACATAAGATGAGTGTTGAAAAGTATTGTAATGAAAACAATAATATCACAAAGCTTATTTTAAATTGCATTGACTGCATTGATGGACTACGATTGGCTGTACTGATAGACTGCGTATATTGTGTTTTATCCTTGTCAAAGGTATTGTATGTATGATCACGAAGGAATACTTTATAAATAATGTTGAGTATATACCAGAACCTAAGAAAGGTTACCTTGAATTTTTAAAGATAAACCAGATGAACTTAAAGAAAAAGAAATAAAAGGCCTTGACGAAAGTAAATAAATGTCTGATGAACCTAATCTTGAAAGTTATCTTGTTTAGATAATCATTTAGATAATTGACACAACCCAAATGCATCTTGTCATTGAATTCGTAGCTGGCTTAGTCAGAGACATAAAGAAAGCTAAGAAAGACGAAGATTCGAAAAAGCACTGTCATTATACTGATTAAATAAATATTTTGTTTGTACTCCCAATGTGACTGTTATAAATCATAACGATTTTTTTTATGAGAAGCCGTTTACCTTAATTATAGCTACATTTTAGAATTCTTCATGCATTCTGAACAACAAATTGCATTCAAAATGTATCGTAAATTAAAGATTTCTACCTATGACGAAATATATGTTTGTAAAGGATGATCGTCCAGGTTAATAAAGTCCTGAGAAGGACTGTTTTTGTTGTTGTTGACTGACGTTTCGACAACCTTAGGGGTAGTCATCTTCAGAGTCAAATGAGGAGTAAACGTCAGGTTAGCCGTATTTGTTATCTGGTTCTTACGTCATTGTATTGTGTGTACAGGAAATGTGTATTGTCATTGTGGATTAGTGTGAAGTGAAATATTTTATTTTTAGTTGTGATGTGTGATTTAGGTGTGACGTATTTAGTTGTAATGTGTGGGTGTCAATTGTGTATTGTCATTGTGAATTAGTTTGAAGTGTAGTGTTTTTAGTTGATCGTTTGTTTGTATTGTGAATAAGTCGTTTGTAAGGTGCCGGTAATTGCTGTGATCTGTTCAGGGGGGTTTGTTCCAAGTTGGTATACCAACTTTCTAATGTAAGCCGTTGTCTATAGTCAGTACTGTAAGTGATGCATTTTGCCGAATCCCAGTCAATGTTGTGCTTTGTGATTCGGTGATGTTCGGCAATATGATTAGTTTTGTCTTGTTTCTTAGTAGCTCGTTTGTGCTCAGTAAGTCTTATAATTAAGTTCCTGCCAGTTTCCCCGATATAGGAGGCGTGGCAGTCGGAGCAGTTTATTTTGTAAACTGCACCTTGTCGTTCGTTGGGTTGTTCTTTGTCCTTTATGTTCGTTAGTGCTTGTCGTAACGTTGTGATTGGTTTATGTGCGACACGTATGTTGTATGGTCGTAAGATACGCGAGATAGTCTCAGACGTACCTTTGATGTAAGGTATCGTTGCTGTTGTCACTGAGTTGTTCGTTTCGAAAGCACAACATTGACTGGGATTCGGCAAAATGCAT